AAAAAAAAAAAAAAAAAAAAAAAATTACGACTAATATGCAATATGCATATTCATTGGTTAGCTGTGACATTTCTCTATGTTACTTTTTGAATTTATGGGTTTTCCACTTGTTCTTAATGAATTCTGCTGCTATAAATCCTTCCACGTCCTTATAATCCATTTTCTAGATAGAAAACTGATTCAGAGAAACGGGAAAGAAGATTGTTGCAGGATTTTTACATTTTTTTTCCTGGAACTTTTTGAGATTTCAATTTTATATTAGGCACACTTTAATGGTTACAGTCTGTATCTTTTGCTAAAGGCAAATGATATAACAATGGTTCATAAGGTGGGACATCAATTACTTCAAAGTAGTGTGCCAAAATGTGCTGGACTAAGCTCTTAAAGACTGGACTAACATGGCATATGTCGTGTTGTGGGAACGCTTGTCTCTACACCATTTCCAGGGCCTGCAGTACAACCAGACTGCAGCCCCACACGGTTCAACTTAATATATATATATATATATATATGAAAAAAAAATGAAAATTGTATGGATCATCCACGAGAAACACCTAAAAGGAGGGTAGTGCAGACCTTACACCTCAATTCTAGTGAAGTGTGCATTGGCCTGGTTTCTCTTATTACACTGCTTTTACCATCACAAAGCTTTGCATGTTTTGTATAGTGCCCAAAAAAAAAATTATTCCTCGTGACAAATTTTATGCACTTGGAAGAGATCTGGATGGAGAAAACAAGAAATAAAACACAGAGAGAGATGAAGAATAAGGTGAAAAATGACAATCAGTTATAAATAATCCTTTGATGATTGACATGGGAAGTTCAGAAAAGGCTAAACACATAATATATCAGATTATGAATCTTTGTTACTATTAGCTTCCAAGTTTGTGGCTTCATTGAGTGATTGCTGGGCATCATTTTCCATCCCAAGAGCAGAGAGGGAAGCTGCTTGAAGGTAAAAAGCAGTAGGCCAATCCGATGTTACCACCAGTGCTTGCATAGCATCTGCTAGAGCTTCATTAGGCATCTCGCTCATCAAATAAGATAAGCAGCGACGAGCATAGACAGTCGGCGATACCATAGTCCCACCATCGATGAACTACACAAAAAACAACAATCGTTAGACCCTTTTCTACAATCACGTAAAAGTTCTTCGAATGAAATGAAGTAGAATTAATCTACTTTGCCAAAGGACTTTTGACATCCTCTTTGACAGGTGAGTAGGTGGATGGAAATGATTATTGAGTTTAAAATAGTCCAATGATAGAATGACACGTGGCATTATGTCAATATATCTGTCAAGAAGGTGGTCAATGTAGCATGATTGAACAAAGTATTGGAACATGACTTTATTATACTATACACTTATCTTTTACCAATCGCGGATTGACTCGAATGGACAGGTAACAGGTTACTAATGGGAAATGTAGATAGAGGACAGACCTGTGTGTAGCGATCAATCGCAGTTATGAAATCCTTGGCTAGAAAAGCAGCATCCCCTTGCTTCTTGTAATTCAAGGTCTCCTGCATCTGATTTGTCCACATTTGAAAAGATAGCTGCAAGAAGATATAATTCAAAAACTTGATTGTTGATGAAACTTTGAGTTTACCACTGAGCAAAGTAGAAGCAGGAACTTGAGAATTATCTCACACTTTTGAGAACTGATACAAATAATATCTGCTCAGAACACACCCTAAATTCTAGCTAAAGGCCAATAAATTTTTAATTCTGTAGGTGGAAATATCTTCCATAAATGGACATCCTCTGAAGCTTCAAAATGATACAGCCCGTCCCCTAGCTCTTGGTCCGCTCTTCTGATCATGGATTTCCTACTCGAGAGGAAAACTTTACTCTCATCTTTTTATGGTTGTCCCGCACAGAGATTCGAACCCCTAATATTAATCATTTATCCTATAGGATAGGCCTACTCCATCTCCACCAGACGTGTTCCAGGAGTAGCCTCAGAAAGGCATGGAAAAATAAGGCTGAAAAATAACTTTGTAAGATCAGAAAAAGGGTTCCTGAGATTGCCATGGATCTAGAAGAGGAAGATGCATACCTCATTTTCAATTCCTTCGTCATCCTTGTACCCAGCATTTTCAAGAAATTCATGTATGGCAGTAAGATCCATTCTCTGGCATGCTTCACCCATGGGCGTCAACAATAATTGTGGCGTCAAGTTGGCATTTCCATGTGAAATGCCCAGTAAAACATGAGATGGAACCTGATCGTCGCATCAATAAGAAAAATACTTATTCTCCGACCCACATTATAAAACCTCATTAGGGAGGATGCTATTCATTAATTTCTCCATAATTTGCAGGCACTAGAGCTTCAAGAGAGTGATGTCCATGATTTATTCATACCTCAGTTTCTTTCTGAATAGACACAAGAGAAGTGACAAGAATCTTAGCATTTGGCCTGTCTCGTGCTTCATATTGCAAACAACGGGTAGCTAATCGCACCAACTCAGTTCCGTCATCATTTGAAAAATGACCCTCCAGACAAGAATCCACGAGCATCGGAAAATTTTTGCCGCGAATAAGATCGAGTGCCTGAAAGAGACCGAGAGGCACAGCTCGAATTTAGATCCTCCCAAAGACTAACAGAACAATTCATTTGTGGAACGAACTAATATAAATTAAGGTTAACCAAGCAGACTTACAAATTATTAATAAACATAATGTAATGAGAAGAAAACTTTTAATAGTGTCGAGTGGACAGATTGTATCTCTCATCAGCAAAAACCAGAAGATGCAAGATAAATTTTAAGTTGCACAAACCAATTTTTGTCAGTTGAGAACAATAGTATTGTAAGAACAAAAGCAACACCAAGTTCAAATATGATGTAGTTCATCATTGAGTGAACGCAAAAGGCTTAAACTTTAAATATTTTTATCCCAGAAAGAGTTTCAGTGTAAGATTTTAGTTCATTTCTAAGGTTATCATAGCGGGCTGTTAGAGTGATAACAGTTAACGTTTAGTGAATTAACACAAAGAATTGAAAAAGAAGCACATGCTAGCAGCGGGGTAAATTTCAGGGATTCGGTAGTTATTTCTTAAACAAATCAGTCTTTTTAATGAATTGCGAACTTACATGGCTTGGGGGTATATGCTTGCCACTTAGAAGATCTAGCAGCATAGTTCCAAAGCTGTAAACTACACTTTCTGGAGTCACTCTTCCTGCCAAAAATTGGAGACAAATTACCAAAAGTTAAACTTAAATAACTGCATAGATAATATCGTTTCATATTTGTACAAGTAGTTTATTGCATAACTTAATACAGTAGTTCAAGAAGAACACTAATTGGCGAGATAGCACATGTATGCAAATTACATGTGCAATTTTTCAAGCACCTTCTTAACCTCGATATCCAACATCGCGTGTATTGGGAGCTACATATGGCAATATTACGAGATCATAGAGAAAACACAATTATATACCAGTTCTCAAGTACTCTGGAGGAGTGAAAGCTAAGTTTGTACTGTAACTTTTGCCATCTCGACTATTCTTCATCAGGCCAAAGCAAGAGAGCCGAGGATTCCCATCCTGTAGACCAGTAAATGAACATAAGACCACAAAACATTCAGTTTTGGAAGGAAAATGCAAACTTATATAGAGCACATTTCACCTTATCAAACAAGACTCTGTAAGCATTAAGATCATGGTACAATGCCCGTCCTCGGCTACTGCAGTACTCCAGAGCTTGTGCTAAATACAAAGCCACCCTCAACCTCATTGCCCATTTCATGGGCTGCTTCTCCCCTATACCAATACAACCACTAAAATATATTAGAACACTATCCATACAAAATCAATTTGGCCTAGAAAGCACGACAAGTTTTCGTATCTCCAAGAACACATCACAAATGCAAATCAGGTCTCAGAATCAATACATATGTATACAAGATGAAATTTTGCCATTATTTTGTTTTAGGGATTAAGCCTTAATCCCTTTCTAAAGAAAGAATGCAATAAGAAAGTAAACAAAGTAAGCACATGAATTTCCACTAGGACCACTACCTATACAGTATGGTTTATTTGGAAAATATCCATGATCGAGATGCAATGTAAAATGCAGTAAAACGGTAATAGTGATATGTACAAAACTCACAATGAAATAAATGTTTTGCTAGAGTTTCGTTAGGCATAAACTCTGCCACCAGCAATCTCTCCTCTTCCTCATAGCAACATCCTATCAGATTTGCCAGTCGCTCACTTCTCAGGTTACCCACTGCCTTAGCCTCCTCCTATAATAACACACCAAAAAAAGTAACATAAAAACTCAAATTCAAACTAAGAAACTGATGTTGATCTCCTGATTAATAGAAAAGAGTAAATACTAACAAGGAATTGGCGAGAATCAGGCCAAGCGGACTTATTGAAGCGCTTAACAGCAATCAACTGATAATTTTCAAGCAATCCTTTGTAAACTACATTGGGAGCCTTCTCTCCATGCTCTGAAACAATGTTTTCAGAAGAAAAATCATTTGTAGCAGATTTCAGCTCCTCCCAGCTGAACTCTCTGAAGCATGGCAATTCATTTTTCTCCGCATTTTCTGTAACCAATTTACACAAAACCCAATAATTTAAGTTAATGATACAAAAATCTCTCCAAATATAACATGATACTTAAATGTCCCTACCCAGATCAGAGGACTGAAGAGCAGAGGGCTTGAGGTTAGAGTGCCACCAGCAGAATGAAAATTTGGAGCAACTTGCACCCATTTTAATGGCAACACAACACAAAGAAAGTAAAGCAATTAAAGAACACTCTCAACAAAACAAGTGTAGAAATGAAAGTTGATCAAAACTGAGGCATTGCATTAAAGTGAAGGAGTGGGATTTTGGTTTTCATATTTCAAGACAAGAGCATGCATTATATATGCGAGAATGAGTTTAATGTGTGTGGTGTATGGTATGATTTTCATATTAATAAACAGTAATACATGCGTGTGCTGCCTGCATATGTTATAAAAATAAAATAAAAAATAATAAAATAATAAAAAATCAAATCTTTCCAGTTTTTCCGGTTTAAGCTTTCGGCTTTATGCTGCCTTTCAACTTCCTCATCATTCTTCTTTGGTACCCCGCCACTCTCTCCATCTCATTTAGATGAAAAATTATCATTTGGTCCTTAATCTGTTGTCTCAATATAATTGCACATTTTAGTATTAGTGACATAATTGTCCAAGTTGTCGTAACACTTGCAAACTTTTAGTAACATAGTCAAGCTGGACAAAATATCTAATTTCATAAAATCATAGTTATTGGACCAAGCTTGACCATTGATCCAGTCAGAGCATCGGATTAGCGGGTTACTAATTCAATCTGTGGGTCATTGGTTCAATTGACGAGTCACTGAAGGCTCGAAAAGTAAAAGAAAACTTTTTTTTTTTTTTGGAAGTAAAAAGCCAATACATTTAAAAGTTAAAATAGATTCTAAATTAAAAATTCATCTATTGAAATATATAAATTCTAAAATTTTATCTTTTAAAAATTCAATATAAGATCTATACGTTTTTCATATTACTTGATCTTTTATTTCTATTTATCACAAGTTTATTTTGTCATAATTTAATGTGTATAGCCGGCAGATAAGGATAAGAAACGTTGAATCAACTTCAGTGGTTGTGTTGTAAGTCCATAAATTTTCTAAATTAATAAACAGTTAATTTTAGGACTCTTTCAAAATATTTTATTTACATGTTTCCTTATTTTAAAGCGAGGAAGACCAATTCTCAGTTGCATATCCATTTAAAATTTTTCCAAATCTTATTGCTATAGATTCACGCGCAAAAACATAAATTTATTTATATATTTCTATCTTCAAATTCTCTCTCACGTGTAAACTGTAATAAATTTTTGTTTATTATTGAACAACAAGATAACTCTTGATGTGAAGTTGTGAACAGTGAACACTTTATCTTTTCCACTCAATATCTGATCGATTCCCATTAATGACAATATTTAAAACAGTTTCAAGACTTTTGGCAAGTCTTCGTATACTACCAAAAATGAAGAGGACTAACAACAAATTTTTGCTCTTGTTTTTTGTCGTATTTTTTTCCTGGAAAGTCACAGTTGCTAGTTAGACGTCGTCAAAGTTCAGAATCCGTATGATTGAATTTCACGATATGAACATTTCTTTTAAAAGTTATGTCAGAAGCAATAAACCTATTAATATCATAATTCGAGCAAATTTAGATAGTTTTTCATGTACGAAAAGAGTTCGTGACACGTATGAGATAAATAAACGAACTTTATTCTTTGTATATATTCATTTAAGCATTTAATTCGAGCTTGTTGAGTTGTTGGGTTCTAAGGTGTAGGGATAGTTCGAGGAGTGCGGTATGTTCCTTTTGTCTCATTTGACACTCCTCAATTTAGGGGCAATCTCTCATCACTTTCGAAAAATTATTTGGCGCTAAACCTTTGGTATATTCGAATTACCAACTAGAGTTTTGAAAGATTTACGCACAATTCCTAATTGGCTAATTCTCACAGCATTTAGTCGACTAGGAACACATAAGTAACATTCGCGCACCATTGAAAATTAATTATGTTCTTTACAAAAAAAAATCTTAAGCTGAGAGAACATTTTGTAAAGTGATGATGAAAATGGATTTTTAATCACAAACGGTCCCCATTGATACTTATTCGCAAAAATTGGAGCCAAAGCCTCAACACATAATGATTAACACTTCACAAAGGCAAGTAGGCCAAGTCATTGTATGCCGGCAAGACGCCCCTTTACAAAGAGGATAGCATGAACATGCACAAGCACAAGCACAAGGCAAAGGTCCTCGTTAACAAGCATTCCATAATTATCATAATTCATACCAATGTTTTAAAATTGATAGAAAAATGTAAAATGTCAATTATTAAGAGGTTCGATTCAAGTTATACTCAAGGCAAATAATTACATAGCTTGACGTGTATCCAGATTCAATTTCAATAACAATTTTTTCCCCTTTCTCAAAATAATACAACTGGACAATCCGAACGATTCAATCAATTTGGACTTACTTGACACTTGCCGAGTTTCATCTCAAGTGTTTAAGATATACCAATTTTAGTTATAACCGGATTTGATTTCGAGTCCATTTCAACTTATCAAACCTATCCAATTAGTTCAGTTTTCAAAACATTGATGCATCCCTATCTCACTTGTACTAGAACAAACCTTAATTTTTTGGCCACCATGGAATTTTATGCTAAAAATTTGTCAAGTCACACTCTCATAGTCACACGAGTGGGTTATAAATCTCTTATCCTTGCAATATAAGATGATCAAACATGGGACCGAGTTCGCTATCCTAAAGTATCAACAAAAATACACACAAAAAAGAGGTCACATGGGTAACAAAACCAGCTGTGTCCAGCCCATTCAAACTGTTTACCCATAAAAAACAAGATAATTTGAGCAATGACGAAACCCATGGTTATGGTAGTGATAATTACCATCTAAAAGCATTTAATCATTGAGTAGCCTCTGGCTCAAATTATTCGAGGCAAGTTGATAATAAGTGGCATAACGGTTTCAAGCTGAACACGGACTTGCTCTCTCGTGCTCCGTTCTGTTAAGAAGCATCGATAAAATAAATTTATATTTTGAAGTTTCAGTAAAAAAGAGGTAAACTAGTACATACTGAAGTTAAAAAACAGTACCTGGAGATAAAGTTTCACATGATCAATTGCAGAGCTGGGCATGGATGCTTCAAGAATTTTGCTGTTTTTCTTACGGTTGGTAAGAATTCGAAGCTTGCAACCGACATCCCACCCTCCACAATCACACGATCCACCAGATTCCCATCGGTTTATTAACGATGAAGGCGCACCTTTGATTGGTATGCCATGACAACCACTAGGAAGAATGACTACTGTGCTATTAGAGTTTCCATCATCTTCGGGGTCATAACTAACCCCTGATGAACAATGTGTAAATTCACTCTTCATACGCTGTCTGCTACTGTCACTTAAATTCACATTATTAAGCTTCTCAATTGAGTTCTTAACAACAATGGCTGCAATCTCCCTGTTCAGCAAATATTCCTGGGTTTGGTTATCCACCTGCCCCGGATCAACACTATACAATACACATTCTCTTAAGACACATCTAATAGAGCCCTTCATATTTATTCCCTGAAGACAGGAGCTTGAAATCTTCATCTGACCTATCATATTATAGCCAAGGCTGCAACTTTTACTTTTAGACCGCTGATTTATCCAGTTCACACTCTTTTTTCTAATCTCTTGGCCTGAGTAGAATGCATAAATTATGCTGTAATCACTCTTTCGAGATGATGGCAAACCCTCGATAACTGCAGCTAGCACATCGCTGCTGTTTTCAACCACAAGTTTGAAAAATGGAAGTCCGTTCTTCAACGTAAGCTGCAAAAAGGCCTGCAAAGTTGAAGTCTCAGCTTTCCTATCTCGAACAGGTCCACAGACAGTCGCTTGCATCATAGACTGTGAGCTTCCATCTGGTGAACGAACAGTCTCAGAAGAGTGAGCTCCTTTGTACTTTAGCCATGGGTCTAGTAATCTCCGTAAAGGGCTGGACCTCCCTCTGCCACTAGCATTTGACTTGTCTCTATCACATTTATCTGTACCACCAGATAAAACCTCACGCCTCACCGAGCATGACTCGGTAGCAGTATATGTAGAACTCAATTGTGAAGCCTCAGAGCTCTCCTTGAAACTAAAGCTCCTACCGATCCTCCTCCCAAAGCTGAAGCTGAATCGGCGATTAGGAGAGGAATGTCTTCCTTTCACAGCTGGCTGTTCAGCTATGTCCCCATCTGTTCTCCTGGAATCCTCGACTGAGTCTGAAAATGAATGTCTAATTGATTTTTCTTTCACTTTTGAACATTTTGCTTCAGATGGTATGGGCGTGACAGCCATCTTACCCGGACACACACTTGTACAAGCATCCAAGTTCATAGGCTGAAAAGTAACCTGGTTATGTGTTTCCATGCTAGATTTGTCTTCATCTATGACACCAACATGAAGGGGACATGAATGAGGAATATCAGCAGAGAATTCTCCAGAGTAGAGTCCTTGAGGAGAAAAGCTATCAGAAAATCTGTTACCGTTTGCTTCCGCTAATTGTCCATCAAATAATGTCCTAGATCCTGTCAATTGTCCATCAAATGGTGCCCTGAATTTAATAAACTGAGAACTC